GGGGTGTCGAAGGTCAAATTGCCGAGTGCCGCTAGTTGAATTTGCCGAGTTTTTCAAAAGTTTATAAAGGTTAGATATAGCTAATGAGAATCATATTGGTGTGCTAGTAACTGAGGGACACCAATATGGCTCTTGTTTTGAAATGGATGCCTGTTCGTGGGTTGTTGCTAAAAAGGAATTGGGTTGCTTTATATATTAAATATGACATTCTAAGAACAAACAAATATAAGGTCACGAAATCGAAACACCCAATTGCAATAACTGCAACCACAGCTCAATGATAAGCACTATTTTAGTTTCGTGCGTTTGTTTTCAGATAGGAGTATTATTTTAATTTATTTATATTAAACATATAAAGCTGGAAAAAAATTAAATTTAACAAAAATTTATACTGTGTTTTCATAAGTCCTAAATCGAGACTGAAACTATGTGCACACGGGTCACGTTTTTGAGCGTTTTTGCAGTGCCGTTTTCAAATTTAGCGTTTAGGCGCCTTGTTCACATTGATCGTTTTTCTCGCAACATTTTCTGACAAAGCACTAGTTTTTTATAGTCTTCGTTTCCAAATTGAAACACGGAATTTCATTTTCGCCTTCTACTTTTCTGTTTACACAATAACAAAGTGCCAAAACGACCAAACGTTTCAGACATAGTGAACGAATCTTTGGCATCGTTTTCACTATTTGAAACGTTTTTGCTTCCTGACGTCGCTTTCATACGTTTTCGTGTGAACAGAACGTACGTGAAAATGGTACTTTCAGTTTCAGAAATTACACCCGTTTTCAAAATTACGCGACCTGCCTGAAAAATACTCTTACTTCAAATGTCAGTTTTATGTCACAAGAACTGCTAAAAATAGCAAACGTAAACAAACTGTCAAACAACATTTTAAACCATATTTAATACCAAAACTGAACAAAAATGAGTTGGATAACTTAGATATACAAACTAAAGCACAATACAAACCATCACAACAGAAATATGTGCCGTGAATGACTCGTAAAGTTTGAAAAATAACAATTTATCCCGGAATTTAGCTGTCAGTATAAAACACGCGCGCTAGACTATAGTATAGCGGTGATGTTTAATTATGATTTTGTTGTGCTTAATTAAATTTTGCAATAATTCTCACTAAAATATCTTGAAAATCATTGTAAGCCTGTTTATATAAAGCATACGAAGCATATACATCGACAAAGAACCGCAAAACTCGAAGTTTGAACTTCGTGACCGAATGACATAAAACTGACATGTCAACTCTAGCATTTTCGTCCTTGGTCGCGTAATTTTGAAAACGGGTGTAACGCATTACAACCAAAAACCGAAAAACGGCTCGGAAAGCGACGGAAACGGTACCGTGTGCATATAGTCTGAGTAACGAGTGTCTTAGACTGTGGTGCAGACGCGCATCTCCGCAAAGTCAGAAAAGTTATCCAAGTATTACCCTGGTTCCAGAGGTTTATTTTTATTATTTTCATTGCGAAGGGGAGGAAAAATAAACCTCTGGTTGAAAGCGGCCGAATTGATTCATTGAGCCGCGCCAATCAGTTTGAATTAGGGTCAGATCCTGACTCTGTCTCCTGATTGGATGATCGTATTAAAGCTCTCTGATTGGTTATAGATGTTCTATTTGAACCAATCAGAGAACATTAATACAATCATCCAATCAGGAGACAGAGTCCGGATCTGACCCTAATTCAAACTGATTGGCGCGGCTCAATGAATCAATTGCCGCTTTCAACCAGAGGTTTATTTTTCCTCTCCCCTTCGCAATGAAAATAATAAGAATAAACCTCTGGAACCAGGATATCCAAGTATCTGCATGTGATTGCATTGATATTTTGTTTCAATATTTTCATGGCAATTTGATGAATTTGACCTTTTTTATTCCCAGGCGCCGAATAGACAATTTATATTTTTTTGTATTTTGAGCAGTCTTAAAACTCTTAGTGCCGAATAGTGTTAACTGGGCTTTTCAGGACCCGATTTTCCAAGAGTTAACGGCAGAGTATCCGAGTTTGGAGGTAGGTGCCGTTGGTGGCCAAGGCTAGTCGGCGATCTAGCCTTGTCGGGCAAATGACCGCAATGGCAAACATTAGGCAAAACACTGGCAAACATTTATGGCAAACTGGCAAATGGCAAAACTGGCAAACAGCAATGGCAAACAGCTATGGCAAAACAGCAAAAAACGTAATAATAAGGCTAATTATAGTAGCAATAGGAGTTTGCCATGACAATTCTGCCAAGGCAGACCTCCGGCACCTGTCACACTGATGATCAGTGGAAAAAAGGACGCATTCTATAGTAGTCTATAGATTGTATCCTATAAAGAAAAACAAATAAAAAAACAACCCGATACAACCAAAACAAAACAACAAAAAACAAAACTAAACAAAAATAAAGAAATTAACTCGAGTATCAACAAACATTAACCAGGGTGGGGAAAGGGCGAAGGGGAACAGAGCGAAAGAGCAGTTGTAGCTAGCTAGCCAAGCTGTAGCAAAGTGACGGATGCGCGATAATTGCAACTGTTCTAAGTGACGTCAGGGGCTCCCTGCTGCTAGATACATCTGCCGTTAACTTCGCTTAAATCTACGTTTAACCACATTTTACATTTTATGCGTCAGAAAGCGAGTAAAACGGATATGATCATATGCAACCGATCGATGATACCGATCGCTGTATGCGGTATGTCTTTCAAAACTGTAGGCTGATCAGAGTTAACAGTAATTTCGCTAAAGAACTAAAGAAGACAAGTCCGTTCTTATCAGTGGCATGGCTCGAATTACATTCAAGACACTAAAGTTTTATTCTTTTTCTTTTGGGTTTTGAACCGCGCGAAGAACATGCCCGGAAACGTGGGTTTCACATTTCAGCCTCCCGTCGATTTTCGACAAATGAAAGACTAATAGTATTACTAGAAAATAGAAATACATTTAAATAGTATAAGGCCACACAAACCATTATTATAAATCCAAAATTTATCGCTTTATTTATCGCCTTCGTTCTTAACTTTTACAATTTGCTGAATGCCGAATTCGCAATTTGCCGAACAGTAACGAAGCAATTTGCCGACTGGGGCCGACTTGCGAAAATTATTGGGGGGGGGTGAAGCCCCCCCCCCCGCTCGCGACGGCCCTGGGCGTGCGTGGAGCCGAGAACGAGGATGTGGAGAAAATATATAACGAGCGCATGAGAAAATATATAACTGGCTGATTGGGACACATTTTATTTTATGCTTATTTGTTTCCTTCAGCTTGTGATCAAAGTCTTTAATGATGAAGATCCGACATCAAAGACAATCTTAGTTGATCAAGGTTGGACAGCTTGGGATGTGTGTAAGAAAATGATAATAAAATATGACAGAGAAGCAAGTACTAACTGGGTCTTGGAAGAAAGACAACCTGGAAACCAATTACGTATGTAGTGGTAGAAATACGAATTTGTATTTTATTGCACAATTACTGTTTTAAATTATAACATGTAAAGAAAAAACACTGTGAAGGAAGTTCATTTTATAGCCGATCACAGAATGTTCAATTTTAGTCTCTTTAAACCTTGGAGTTTAGCGTGGGCTACGCTGTAGATATCGAATCTTCTACTTATTTTTTTTGTTGACAAGTATGAACAATGATAATTTCTTTTACTGGCACAGGATGCCGTAATGAATCGGTCGATTGCCGCAAAATAATCAACGCAGCCAACCAAGCCTTTCGAGGCTTACTGTATTTTGCGAAACGAAACTTTGCGAAACTGTATTTTGCGAAACTGTATTTTGCGAAACTGTATTTTGCGAAACTGCATTTTGCGAAACTGCATTTTGCGAAACTGTATTTTGCGAAATTGTATTTTGCGAAACTGTATTTTGTCATGATTCTGCTAGTAAAGTTGGCAAACATTTGTTTATAAAGACAAAATAAATAAAAAACAAAGTGTAGTACGTTGCTTTCAGTGCTTTCACATGGAACTTTATACATGGTCCATCACACGTCGTTATCATGGCGGCCAGACGTGTTATGGCGAGCTCTGATATTATTCCACCATTATTTGATAAATCTCGTAAAGAAATAGTTAATTCATCAACTATCGGTATTGATTTTCTTGGTAATGCTTTAAGCAACGATCTTATTTACGAGGGCACACGTTTGAAATGGTGCAATGACTTAGATTCTCTTAAGGCGTTTGTTGCCGAAGTGCTTGACCTAAACGGGAAATGGTGTTCTCCTGGAGGTGGGTCTAAAAGGTTCACAAGCTCCAATGCTGAACTAACTTTGACGTGGTATTCAGGCAAGCAAAACACTTTATTATTTCAAGGCAAAGATGGCAACCTAATTCGGGATGGATGTGTCAAATTCTGTCAGACACGGGACGGTGTTATGAAGTCGAGTTGTAAACAAGTGCAAGCCCTGTCGAAAAATTCAGAGTTACAGCGGGATCTCATTGCTCCAAATATTTTGGAATCTGAGCCTACATCTATATCGAGACCGGCCAACCAAGTTGATGTTGCATCACAGGTATGTCTAGACATTATAGGAGATAATTCCAACTATTTGTCGAACTGTCGCTGTTCGTGTGGCGTTCTAGCTGCTGACGTTGAGGGAGTTAAATTAGATATTACTATCCTATCTAACAGAATCGATTCGATTGCAAATGCTAATACTGAATATTCTCACAAAGATAAAGAAATTGATCGTCTTCGAAGTGAACTATCGATTGAGAAGGCGAGATCTGAAAAGCTTGAATCTGAGTTGAGTTTGTTTGTGAAAGAACGATCCCTTGAAATTGAAAAGTTGAATCAGACTATTGTTTCCCTAGAGAATAAAATAATTGAGCATGATAAATCTAATGCCTCCCTAAAATTATTCATTGACATTGATCAGCAGAGAATTTCCAAACCTCAAATCCCTGAGCAAAGTAATTA